CGCTTTCTTGCGGTCAATTTCGACGCCGTAACCTCGAGCCCAGTCGCCCCTTTTAGGTGCGTAATACAACGAAAATTGGGACTGTCAGGTAAGCACAGTCTGGGTGCACAGGCCAGGAGTACCCTAGGAGACCTGGATATATGAGCGTAAGCCAAAATCGTCTTTGAATCCGCGTGAGATTAAGTTAGTAATCCGATTATGATATGTCGACATAAGTCTTGTCGAGTAGTGCATCTAGTGGAAGCCCAATGGAGCATCATCAAACCGCGGCGGACGACAAGTTGGGAGATCCATTCCGGGACATTTGGTTCATGATTCAACGAAGACGCCTCGGTGTTCATCTATTTCCGGCATAAGCCATTTCTGGAGTATTCAATTCGGATCCCTGCCACTTCTTAGTGGGAGCTGATAATATATACACTGTCAAAAGGAGCCCGTGCGCTCGGAAAGCCAAAAGAGGTTATTTCAACAAGGCATGCACCATTTCGTGCTGGGCCTGGCTCTGAGTGCAGGCTACCTGACGCTACTTACTCACAGCCACTTTCTGCTGACCGAGTTTGATTCTAGCAAGTAATGACGGGTAATTCTGGCTCATGACTTTGCTGCAAAGTACTCCAAAGTGCTTTCGACTAGCATCGAAATCAACTCCCAGTGCAGCAGGTACCGAAGCCAGCGTGCCAGAACGGGCGTGCACGGGCGTGCCAAAATGCGACGTCTAACACAGCCTATCCTGGCTTTGGAGTGGCTCGGTAGCCTATATTGGCTGTCGTAATCAGGAGCTAAGCAATGGCGGCCCAGCGTGGGTTAGTGTCTCCCAGCTCCCCAGCTCTGGAAACAGGTGACTAGGGCCGTTTGACCGCTGCTGTTGGGAATACGGTTCGGTGGCATGCTCTCGGTGGTGCATTGGCCATAGTTGCTCTGGAGGCCATGGGGTTGCCATGGTGCCTGCGTCGCTTTGGGCTTTATGACGAGCACACGGCTATACAATTGGCCTTTCAGAGTGTGTTGTGGCGCTATTTTTGCTCAGATTTCAAAAATTTCGTTCTCGCTTTTGGTGATGTTTCTACTGACGAGCTGCATCACCAATCGGAGATAGACTTGGAGTCGTTCGATTATCACGTGACTTAAAGCGTGACTCGAAGCGTGACACCATCCCTGGAGCTGTGGCATCACAAAACGTGATGACCAAGCCCACAATTGCCCCGCGAAAGATCGATGACATGCTTCGCACAGAACCAAACCAATCTCACGCGCATTGAGTACTGGCCCTCGAGCAAGTTGCGATCGGGCCCCTAGAACTAGAAGCCTGGTTGGTAGACTGCAGACTGGCTGCGCTCTTCACAGGATCCGGCGTTCCACACAACCTGTTCGAGGGAGCCCTTCCCGACGACCTTCCCAACGACGAACGAATGAGGGAAACCGAACCAATTAACGCCGGACGTCTGGCCGGAGCGTTGACCCTCTCAGTGGTATGGATCAGGACGAATCAATATTTTCGACGCCTCTGGAAGCCTCAGACTGGTTTGCTTTCGGCGTACGGGTTCTGCATCAAGGTCAAACCATACGCGAATCTGGCCGAGGCACACACGGTGCAGTTTGTCGCTCAATGCACGTCTATTCCAGTCCCCAAAGTGTACTCTGCTTTTGTCCACCAAGGGACCACGTATATTGTCATGAGGAAGATCAACGGACAGATGGTATGGCTGCGCTGGAAGGAGCGTCCGGAAGCATCCAAACGGCGGATCCTCGATCAGCTGCATGGCATGGTGTTCTAGCTGCGCGCTATCGCTCCAACAGAAGGCATTGGTATCGCTAATACTGACGGTGGCCCTATTTACGATTTTCGCTTGCCTTCGAAATGGTTTTGGGGTCCCTTTGCGACAGTACGGGACTTTCATAAGGAGCTTGCTAATGGTGCCGACCTTGAAATTCGTTATGAGAATCAGCCCCCAGATCTGGACGAACTCTTAACTTTCTACAGCCAACAAACTAGTCTTAACACACGGAGACTTAAGCAGCTTGAATATCCTAATACAGGGAGATGACGTCGTTGGTATCGTTGATTGGGAAACAGCAGGCTGGATGCCCTCATACTGGGAGTACACGTCTGCATGGTTTGTGAATCCCCAAAACCCGTTTTGGCAGCAAGAAGTAGATAAATTTCTAACGCCTATGCTGTATGAGCTGAGGATGGAGCACATACGTCGTACATACTTTGGCGCAACCTGAGCCAAATAACAATTATATCCTCGAGGGTTCTAAACATATGTCTTCCTTTGTTATTATAGTATTTACAGCTATAGTGATAGTTCTCTGTCATCCAGCATGTCCCAGGTCGGTGCTTTAGTAGGGTCATAGTCTGAAGAACCATCAAATCGATGCTCTGCCTTCTTCTTGTCAACATACCACATAATTGTGTCACGTACTAACTTTCAGAGGTGAAGGCTCCTGGCGGCATGGAAGCAGAGGTCATTGGACGAGAACATTACCGAACCTCTGCTGAGACAAACAAGTGGATGCCATCAGAATACATGTAGTCAACTTTAGTTGCCCTTTCGGCTTTGCCGCCGGGCGTAATAATATTGTGTATGTGTGTAGTACTGCTTGCGCAGATCTGCTTCAGATCTCTAAGCTGCGTTGGATACCAAACCCTGCTTCAAGCAACATGTTTGCTTCGATTGATGTTGGGGAAATTTTCCATGACTGATTCGAAGCGAGATCAGGTTACTACACGCAAGTGCCTTTCTTCAACTCCGTTGCGACCCTGTCAAAGAAACCCAATTTTCCAACAGTAAACGCTCCGTACGAGTAGGCCAAGGCCTGGTTTAAGTTGTTACTGAGAGATGTTGAGAGCAGGTTATCTTCACCTTCTGCTGTCTTCACCATCTCAACATAGTCGCACCGCTCGCGCCATTTTTCTTTCACGCTTTCCTTTAGGGGGTGCCCATCTTGGTCGTAATGTTGGGGTAAGTCAAACGACCGAGGCATGACTTGAATAAACTCGGGGTACGCAACGAGTCCCCAGGGAACTGTACATGCACCCTCCCAATCAATGATTCCTGTGACGTTAAAGCTGGCTTCGTCGACCATGATGTTGCTGTGGAGGAAATCATCGTGGCATAGAGGAAATGGCCCCTCGTTGCGGAAGGGGAGTAGTTTAGCTATGCTTTTGATCTGTGAAGGGAATTCGTCGGTAATCTTGATCATCTCTTCTGCCGAAATCGGGCCTCTCTGCATCATTTGGGTGATTGTTTCCTTGTCGAGCTTGAACTTGACCTTGTCGGCCCATGCCTCAAAAAAGGCCGCCGCTGTATCAAATGGACCGCCGATCCCCGGAATTGGACCCGACTTGTATCTGCCGTCCTCACTTCGAATAATAGCTCCAATTTTTGGGAGTCGCAACGATGTCATCTGGACCTAGTACAGTGAGTTACTATATAGTTAGGTTAAGAAGGTGGGTCACTAGGAACGAACATGACACTTAGCGACAGATTGATAGAAAGTTTCTCGGTACTCTACGGGTATAACACCACCGTGTACTTTGTGACCGCCGAGAGCATCCATAGCAACAATACCGGGGAGCATTTCGATGAGCATGAAGGCAGCCCCTGCAGCATTATTCATGTCTGTCTCGTAGACGAAGACTCGGGGTACACGTAAGCTGGAATTCTCTTGAATGAACTGCATTGTTGCAATTTCATTTTGTAGATTTTTGCCGTAGGAACACGACGGCTCGCTTCGTATGATGGGAATTCGGGCTGCCCAACGAGTTTTGTCGGAGAACTCAAGTTGACGGACGACGTTGTTGAGTCCGCTCGTTATCTGGTCCAGGGTCACACATTCCAAGCTGCAGTTGGCATCCGAGGCTATTCGGCACAGCTGATCCCAGTTGACTTGGTTGAAACAAGCGATAGCTTGGTGATCACCGTTCTGAAGAAAATTTTGAACTGTTGTCCAGGAGGTTGAATCAGTAGCCATGGCAGCCTGCTACTAAAGAAATCAATCGAATGATTCGAATATTCCAGCGACAGAGGTGGTAACAGGAGTGCTGATCGGTTCTATATAGGGGGCGACTGTGAAGAGCTGAACCCTTCCAGGGCTACGGCGATGATCGCCTACATATATTAGAGAGTGTGCACAGACAGATAGACTACCCAATCAGGACATCCGTAAGCGTGCACATTTGATGCAGTCGAGGTGCAAAAAACAGCAGTCAGGATAAAACAAACCAAGGCGGTGTACCAGTAGAAATGTCTATATTTAGAAGCACATTTCAAAAAGGAATATCCTACCGGGTGCGGATGGACCTCATTTTTGCCAAGACCAGAAACTACCCAGTTTTTCCCCAAAAATGTCAATATATAAACATTCAATTGGTCAAATATTTCTAGACAAATACTCGGAATGAATGTTATTGGCTCTACCCCGCCCTTGGCAAAAATGAGGTCCATCCGCATCCGATGGGATACACTGCGTCTTTGGCTGGTTGATTTGAGGCGGACACCAGGTCCACTGGTTAGGTGGTGATTTTTCTAAATACACTAATCACATTCTGGTTTGACACAGCATACTGTATGCATTCAGTACAGTCTGATTGTTCTTTCAGCACCCCGAGCTGCCTGATAAAAATATGGTTCACCCGTCATGTACTTAGTTACACCCACTCAATCACTTTCCGTCATTTGCAGGACGTGTCCAGCCACACCCCTTGGGGCATGCCTGCCCACGTCCGATGTCGGCCCCATCGCAACCCATCGTTGCACAAGTTGTATAGACGCTTTTGGATCCTGCAGGCATTTTGACTAATAATACGTAAGCGTAAACATTCAGTGTTTCATCCTTTGACTGCATTTGATGGAGGCGTGAAATCTTACCTCAAAGTGTGAGTTAATCAAGGTTAGACCGGTGTGGTAGAAGATGGCTGAGTTGGACGGGGAACAAAACGGGGAACAAAATGAATTCCGTATAAAGCCAAGCAAGACGTTGTCAATAAGCCCTCTATTGGAAGTGGGTGGGTAGTCGAATGGATGAATGCTAAGTTAGGTAGAGATTCGTTCCATTTCATCCGGTCTACGACCAGACCTTTATATTGTTTTCGCTGGCCCAGTAGCGACCGTCCAGTTCCTACAAGATCACTGGATACACTGCAACATGTAGTGTGTGCACAGAGCCTTTGCTCAACGCTCAGCAATTGATTGACCGCGCCTGGTTTCTTGACCTTCGGGTTAATGACAGAAATACCAGGCCTTTGCTAATTGTGTGGAGTTTAACCTTTTCTGGCTGGGTGCAGGCGTGCTGATGGGGGTGTGCACACCCAACATGTTTCTTGAATCCAGTTGTGTCAGAATTCATTTTATTAGCCACTGGAAAGGCTGTCCAACCAACGCCCAATACGAATTGTTATAGTGGCCTGACAGGGTATGGCAAGAGCTATGCTTAATGTGATTTTCATATAGCGGCCGGCGAGACAGACCTAGCAGAAGTGTTTGTTGGTGCGAGGGGGCCACGGCAGGGCCTCCTAAGTTCCTAAAGCCAGCCTCCAATTACACATCCGTACAGTTGTTCCTTGACGAATACGAAGCAAGATCCCGGAATTTTCACAAGCAGCTTTTCTAAAGATTCCACGAAATGTTTGGTTCTTGGAGATTTCGCGAAAGCGGCCACGCAGCGCCTAAAGCCAGTTTTTTTCCACCCCGCCCGCCCCCATCAAGGGCGAGAACTCTTGCAGAGTACTCAGATGAAATGGACCAACGACGGCTACTGAGACGAGCCAATCATAGGCCATGGGAGCCGTCACCGGCTGCACGTTGACATGCAGTGTGCACTTGACCGAACGCCTTCGGACAGCTTCCGCGTAATGTATCCTTCTAGTTTCGGCGGTAACCTGACCTGATTCTTACGAGGTCAGCCAATGGGCTCAGGCCAGACGTTCACCCAGATGCAGAATCCGCCAGTCCGCTGGCTCTAGACCATGGTGCAGAAAGCTGGAAATTGATCAAAGGGTGCACGACACTATCAGTTCGAAAAGCAGTCTGAGGCCTGTCGCCGCACGTCCGGAAGTTGCTTTAACTGGCCCCAATACATGACGAGAAATTGATACGGATCACCGAAACTTGATTTCTCTCGTTCTCTACAAGGCAATCCTAATGGCGCCGCAGCACCAACGGAATCGATTCTCGAGTCACAAAACCCTCAGGAGCTTGGCTGCATGGTAGGCCCAGGAGTGAGAATGAAATCTTGTGAGTCTGCGACAATGACATGTCTTTCTGGTAGTGCAAGTCTACAGGAGGTGAAGCCTCCACATTGGCCGTGGCAAATGCCCTAGCCTGGTTGTTGGGGCCATCTTTATGGTCGCGGCGCAGCACTGATTACCATGTGCATTTTCAGTCTGTTGGTGGCCTCCGGCATGATTGCAGCGCGGGGGCCAACTAGGACAGAGTCTATGCGCCCCTCGACAGTCACGATACTCATGGCGGAGCCCCTCTGGTGGTCACGCCTTTGTGATAACGCACGATTCACGAATTGCATCCAGCATTGACACAGCTTGCCTAGGTACTGAGCTCAATACCAAGCATCAGATTGATGCACTGAACCTAGCTGCAAGGTGCATTATCTGCTTGCGGTGCATCGCAGCATTGTGCCGCGGAGGCGCGGAAGGTTGAATGTGGCTGGCCTATTGGCAAGCTGCCCGGCCAAACATCTGCAGGAAGCCGGAAAGTTGGCTGTATTAGATTCATGTCCCTGAGCAGTGGACGGCCGTGTTTGCCGGCGGATGGACACATTGACAGGGATTGATGATGCACGTAGTGTACACTGGAGGTTGGCAACTCAGCCCCTGCCGGACAGCGGTAACTGACCCTTTTCCGAGTTTGATGACTATCAATCATCCGACGCATCCAAACATGTGATGGCCAAGAAGTCTTGATTAACCGAGTTTGTCTCAGCCTGCCTTATCTCGCTAAGCCTGAGGCTGAGCAGCAGACGAACTGGCTTGCTTGTATACCCGCAGGCTGCTATCCCTGGCAGATGTCGACTGCTGTTGGCTTGAAGAGCCTGACTGACTTCATACTCAGAGTACAAACTCATAAGGCTAAGCAGTTGCTTAGATGAAAAAGGGTAGAGATATTCAAGTGTAGTATTGAGGGGCGAAAGTGTTGATGCTTTTCCAGGTGGCCAGGTTGCGGGGGTGGCCCGGTGGGGGTTGACAGCTGCTACATGCAACCGGAGGAGAGGAGGGGCACGTTCACCTGTCCGCAAGTCCTGCCAAAAAGACAAACAGGAAGAGGACCGTCAGTCTCACAGGGTTCACTGCGGCCCCTGTGCCCGGACGTGGCTTTGGTTGGGCACCAGCCAGACTAGTGACCCACTATTCTGAGATGAGAGTCGGAGAAACGGATGATGGTGGAGCCGTAGCCAAACAGGCCAGCAGGCCCACCTGCTGCCTCGCGCCTGTTGTCGGGGTAACACAGACCAACAACTCAGTTCTGCGGTGATCGAAGCCTTTGTTTCTTTCTTCACTCCCTATTGCACAACTTTCTAGCCGCGATGGATGATGAAATCGCTAATCTACGTCAACAACTTCGGGAAGAGCAACATCGACGTGAAGAAGCCGAAGGTCGTGTACTGGAAGAACAACGCCGACGCGAGAAAGAACAACGCCGACGCGAGGACGAACAACGCCGACGTAAGAAGGCTGAAGAACTTGCGAAGGCATCACAACCACAGACACTTCAGGATTATCTCGAGTCTTGCCACTCGCTCAGTCTCGCCATTCGGGTAGTTACTGATCGCACCTTGACTACACAAGGCGACACGACCAACCCGACCGGCCGCATTTTCCCTCGACGAATCATTCCGTGGGATGACTTCGCGACAGGACAAGAGGAAATTTGGGACCAGCTCTCGATCTGGCGCTCATTCACTTCTGTGGCCGTGTTTCCATCCCCACATCAGTTGGAATATGTCATGTCTCTGATTAGCCCGATCAGCAGTGAGACTGGACTCCGGAACTTCCAGCGGGATACGGTCGAGAACGCAGTTCAAAAGCTGATTGATGAGGTATACAACAACGAGCAACTCCGAAGTAAATTCGGCTTACAGGGGACCGTGACGTTCGAGAGCCATACGAACCTCGGCCAGACTGATGACACCGTATCCGAAGCTATGGAACATATGTCTATCGAGAGAGAACATACAACCGCCGCAACGTCAGCCTCGATGTCACCGAGCCGCAAGCCCCGGCGCAGGGCGAGAGGGAAAGGCAACCGGGCGGACCAGTTTTGCATTTACCGCACCTCCGATGGCCGAAACTTTCCTGCCGTGGCGATCGAGTACAAGGCACCGCATAAGCTGAGGTGCGACGAGGTCGTTACGGGTCTGGAGTCCGAGATCCGGCCGGAACGCGATATAATCAACAAGGACGGTGAGGGGTTTACGTTCGCATCGAGGTCGCTCGCTGCCGCTGTTGTCACTCAGCTCTTCTCGTACATGATCGGCAAAGGCATCCAGTATGGATATGTGTGCACAGGTGAGGCGTTCGTCTTCCTCCACATTCCGGATGACCCTACCACCGTATATTATTCTGTACACGTACCCAACCTGGACGTTCGGGACGAGGATGAGAACAGGCTCCATGGCACAGCTGTTGCACAGGTCTTCGCCTTCATCCTTCGGGCCCTCCGCGCGGAACTGCCTCCTTCGTCCTGGCACGACGCCGCCGCGGCTCTAGGTACCTGGGCAGTGGAATACGACGACGTGCTAAGGAATATCCCCGAAACGGTGCGCAAGGGCAAGGAACCGCGCGCCTCTCCCTACAAACCTCAACGCTGGCGAGGGTTCAAGCGCTCGCCGATTCGGACACGCTCTCAGTGCAAGCAACCCGACAGCAACACAAAGCATCGAGACGATAGCGGTGACGATGAAGGAGAGACCCCTCCTTCCCCCACTCCAACGCGATCGATCCATACCGACGAAAAGGCTGTCACTAAGTCAACGAGGGCGGGTTCGGACAGAAAACAAGCGCAACATGGCAAAGGAGGTCAGCAGCAAAGCCAACCGAAACAGCAGAATATACAGGATCGTCCGTTTTGCACCCCGCAATGCCTCCTAGGATTGGCGAACGGTTGGCCAATGGATAAACACTGCCGGAATTTCCGGGACCATGGACATCAGCATCTCAATCGACTGGAGTTCCTCCGACTCATCCGTATCCAGCTCGCTGAAGACCGCGGCCGTGATGCTGATGCCGCACCGCTTTACCTGTCCGGCTCGATCGGTTCACTCTTCAAGGTGCGGCTATCCTCCTACGGGTACACGCTTGTGGCCAAAGGCGTTGAGAGTCTCGATCTGGCCCGGCTGCAGCATGAGAACGAAGTGTATGATCGACTCCGCTCGATCCAAGGAAAACATGTTCCCGTATGCCTGGGAAGTGTAGATCTGGTCCTACCATTCTACTATGATAGTGGCATATACAAGCACTTCTTGTTCCTCAGCTGGGCCGGCCGGCCTCTGTTCGACTCCGCCAATCAAGCTATTAGGACAGACGTCGTTGACGTGGTTGCCAAGGCTTACAAGGAATTGCACAAGTTGGGCATCCTTCACGGCGATGCGGAACCGCGCAACGTATTACGCGACACAGTGAGTGGTAATATTATGGTAGTGGATTTCGAACGGGCAGAGGTCCGCTGTCGCCCACCTCTCGGCTTGCTTAGCTCAAACGGTCAAAACCAGAAGAGAAAGAGGGGGACGTTAGAGAAGCGAGGGAAAGGCGATTTCACCAAAGAACTAGAATCCGTTGTAGAACATGTTTCAAGGTCTATAACAACCACACGACCAGACGCTGCTATCTATGAGGCCAAGATGGTGCGACATATGTAAGGAATGACAAAGAGTTGGGCTGATGTCAAATAAAACGAAACCAAGGAGAAACTAAGCATAGAGACTACCACAAATTAATCACTCTGAACCCATGAATCTCCCCTTCTTAGTGCTCTTTCCTCTTTAGTACGGGACACCCATCCCTTCACCTCGGCCAAAGCGCCTGAGGGCGAGTCTCTGTTTGCTAGGAGGAAGGAAAAAATGTCGGCAGGACTGAACTCCAGCTCCGGCACTTGGGCTGCAAATTGATCTGCCAGTCGCCGGACTTCTTCATTGCTGTCTTCTCGGTTATCCAAGTCAGGCAGCTCCTCGTCTGATTGTTGAAACACAGTGTTGAATATCTTTCTAACCACGTCAGCATCTGCAAGCTGAAACTCGATCTTCTTGTCAACGCGGCCAGATCGGATCAAAGCTTCGTCGAGATATTCTATGTGGTTTGTCGTCATAATGAGAACTCGCCCTTCTTGTGATGCGACGCCGTCGAGAACATTAAGGAGCCCAGACAACGAAACAGTCCCGTGCGGCTTCGATGACCTCCGTGAATCATCCGATCGGGAGTCAAAATCATCGCCGTCAGGTACGCGGGACTGGGTTGTACCGACGGCGTCAACATCCTCAAGGAGGACAACGCAGCGTTGAGGAAGATCCCTAAATAAGGCACTAAGTAGTCCATCACTCATAGCAGCAAGGCTGAGAATGTAAATGTCCAGTCCAAAACAACCGGCGACAGACATGCTGAGACTGGATTTTCCAGTTCCTGGACGGCCAAACAGCAGGTAGCCCCTTCGATATGGCAACCCACGGCGTGCATACCAGGACCGAGCTTCGGGATCGAGGAACGAGCGGACATCCTTGAGGAGCGTCTGTTTGAGCTGTTCGTTCATGATAACGGTATCGATCGGCCTGATGTCTCGTGTGGTGGTTCGTTTCCAGCCGTTATTATAATTCTCGAAGATCGCAGTTTTGTTTTCAGAATGCTTCAGATATTCGACGCGACATTCTTCCATAAGGTCCCGTAGAACCTTTGAAGAGCGCCCAACGCACGAAACTGTCATGGTGTTGCGAGGAAACAATGCTGCTTTGTCTTGAGTGCATCGTAGAGTGAGACGGTGCCCTTGATACCAGAAATACAGCGGTTCTCCCCAAGGCGTAAACCGAAGGTTCTTTTTAGCCGTGATATCGGGGCTGACCTGGGCCATGCTTCTTCCTCGTCTGCTTTCAACACTAACAAGTGAGGAGCTGGCATCTTTGGAAAAGGCTTGGCTGGAAACCCACGCATCCAACATGTCGTATGCCTCGTCGGGATCGTGGACATCGGCTTTTGAAGCTAGAGGATGTTAAATATGTATCACAGATTTGGGAAGGGCTACTAACTGAAGTAGGTGTTGACGAATCCTCCCACGGTCCTGCAAAGGAACTTGCCGCAAACCATGAACATCCCGCAGATACACAACAAACCGGCGTAGCCATCCAAGTTTCCGTTTAGAAGTTGTTGGAGTGTTGCGGTGAGACCGGTGAAGCCGGGGAAGAAGATGTCTATGACGGAGAGATGGGGAGGAGTTGGAAGACTTGGATTATGCATGATGTAGAAAATTGTTGTGTGTATTATGTTTGGCAATGTTGGCAACACCACTTGCAGAAGTTTGAGCACTGAACGTCGACAGATTTTTTACGTTCACACCAGCACTGACACGGGCCGGGCATAATTAGAACGATAGAACTTCTGAGAGAAGGGACGGCACGGCGGAGGCTTTTAAACTCATAGGACTGTGGCAGAATAACCGATGTGGCTACCCATCACCGCTCCTAAGCCGGCGATGAGAATCATCCCAACCTCACAACCAGTTCCCTCGTCCTTGTTTGCTCGAAGGCCAGCAAAACAACTTGATCCCTGGCGCTTGCAAGTAGCATGATTTGCGTGATGAGCTAACATCTTGCAGGTGCAGCGTTATTGCGACCTGGCCAGAGCCGTCGTCTCAAGACCACTCCTTACTAGATCTGGTTGGCTTGGGAATTTGTGAGCATTCCCATCTTGAGGTATATCAGCAAGACGGGTCTCTTCCCTTTTTGGATGAGGAGGCTTTTTGTGGCTGTCACTAAACGGGCTAGTCCAGCCGTGTCATGGCACGTGCGACAGCTGAAAAGACGGCGGCGTGCTCCATAATCTTACTGTTCTAGAATATTCAGATATCGGGAGAAGCATCGATAGCCACATAGCCCGCAAAAATGTATATTTGATGCAACTATGGAGGACACAATCCGCTCCCGGAATAACTATTTACCGCCATATTTTCTGATCGGGAGAAGGTTCAGGCTTCATCCACCAACCTACCCCTCCTTCAATATCTTACCGCTAGGCTGCGACACAACCCCACGAGACCATACGAGACCATACGAAACGATACAAAACGATACAAAACGATACCCTGAATCATTCCTTTCCGAAGTACCTGCTGTGCTTCATGGACACAAATCAGTCACTCTCCTCGGAGGAAGCACACAAGACAATATTGGACGAAGGATTCTGTTCGGTTCAGGATCCGCGGTTAGGGCAGCGCATAGCAGAGATGGAGGCCAACGCTACCCCTTTTGCATCCGCGGATGGGCTTTCATTCTGTAATGATAACGTGCTGAAGAGCGCGGTTAGTATAATCAAAATATCTGTCGGATCTCCAAACCTGACCTCTTCAGCAAATACGTCCAGTTCTCGAGTCCTTCTTCGATTGGTTTGGCCTGGGACTGTACAGATCGCTTGGCGCGGCCCCTGGTGATTACACTTTCCGGCAGAGTGATCCCAACTCTAACGTTGAATCTCTCTTGGTCCAGTTGTGGAGTGAGGGTTCAAAGGTCACCATTTGGAGAGGCTCGCACCACCATCAGTTGCCTTCGGTGAGAGGGGAGAACTCCTTATGGCGAGTTCCTCGCGCCATTCTCAAGCGGCTCGGCCTTGAGCCGGTTGAGGTGACATTCGAACGAGGTGGTTTGTAAGTTGCCTCCCTCAGGTCTCCTACCGTCCGCCACCCACCTAACTTAAGTGACAGTATCATTATAGACCCTCGGGTCGCTATTGAGTTTACGAGAGGCACATCCATAATTTTTGCTTTTGGGACGAAAGAGGTTGTCGACGGGGGGGCTTGGAATCCAATGAAGATACCGAGATCAAAAGACGTAGAGGAAATAGTATCTTTGATGGAAAATTCAGGGTCGAATTTTGGTATAAACATAGCGTATATTGGTTAAGATAGTTTATGGCTATCAATATGGAAAGGCACCCATCCCACCGTTTACCTGCCCAAGTTCCGGAAGCCCTAGATCATCTGGAATTGAGGGAACTACACTGCCTGACAGCTCGAGCCTGCCGGGTGCTGGATAATTCCCAGTGACTGTTCCTGGATGGAAAGAGTACACTGATGGTCCTATGTCATAGCGCGGCGTTATGGTAATGTCCTCAAAAATGGGAGCATAGCTGGAGGAGTGGCATGGCGGTCTGTGGTTGAATGAGAAAAGCGAGGCAGTTGATAAATCAGCGTCGGATAAGCTCGCTGGAGTTTCGGACTGGTAGTATGATACAGGCGGCGTCGGCAGTGGGGGTTGTACGGTAATGCGCGCCTCTCCCTGAGATGATGTCTCTGAGGGCAACCGGTCAGTGACTGGCAGACCAGAGCATGGGTGAATGTCGAAACGTCTTACCATTGTTGTTAGAGATCGCACGCTTTTTTGGGAGCTGTGGCTCTGAGTACTCGTCCACCTCTTCGTGTTTTCGCTTGGCTCCCAGCTCACGTCTTCTGCCATCCATGGGTAGCATCTGGCTGAGTTGTTCAGCGCTGTGTCTACGCAGCTGGGCATGCCTCTCTTTCTTATAAAAGTTCATTGCCGTGCTTTGTCCAAGCCTCATGGGGTTGCATTTGTGTCTGAGAAACTTCCGGACACGATTGAATGAATGTCGACAAAAGACACAAAGCTCAAAACATGTGACATCTAAGCAGACACATTAGCTCGTAACTTTTCCCTGGATAGGACTGGGCAAACATACGTGACTGATAGTGTCGCACAAGACCTCTTCTGGCCTTGAAGTGCTTCTTGCGGCTGCAATTGGTGTATGGACAACGAAGCTTAGCCTGGCCGTCCTGTTCTAAACCTGATTGACAAGATTTGGCTCCATGACCGTCATTGGAATGGTCGTATTCATCGTCTTCGTCGTCGTCGTCTTCGTCGTCGTCGTCTTCGTCGTCATCGTTGTCGTCGTCGTCATCGTCGCTTTCGTTCTCATAACAAGCACTCTTATCTAAGGAAGGTCGAGAGTGAGACTGTATACTCGTAGGGGGTAAATGTGCCTGAGCTTCCAGCATTCGAGCTGCAAGCTTTTGAACCTCAAGCTACCAGGTCCAATTAGCAAACGTCTGATAAGTGCGTCATACTCACTCACCTGAAAGGCCCCAATGTGATCGCGCAAAGCTTCCCTTGTATCAAAAGCTTTGAAGCATACTTGGCACTGTAGTTGAGTATCTTTCGGCGTTCGCTTTGCCTTCCCCGGGTTCACATGTATGAATTGTGCCTGGTTGTTGGGCATCGTCAACAGTCTGTGTGAACTTGTAAGGATGAAAACGGCGGTGGCGGCGCGGGGATCTTAGACTAGGGACGATGACCTGGGCGCTAGCACGTTCCTATCAGCAGGGGTTGCTAGAGCGATTGGGTGGTGCCAGGAGTCATGGGGTCTGCACCATTTGGGAAATTTGGCCACAACCTCAGACCCCGGGTATATAACCCCGGAAGTGTCGCTACCTCCTATCCCTGTACGATCATTCAAGAAAACCTCCAACCAACTGGCCTGCAACAGTTCCGGACCCTTTTTCAAGAACCCAATCTTAACACTGATCACAACGATGAAAGGCTGCTCAGAATGCGATGGATCGGGGATGGTCGGCACCTCTATCTGTACAAAATGCAGCGGCAACGGATAGTGCATTCAACGGCCCCTAACTTGTTACGGTAACGCACTGGAGAAATAATGGTAAGACTCACTCACTTGACATTCTTCAGTTGCCCGTATTAACAGCGCACAGTATCTTCAGGCCAAAAGGTCTCAATACAGCGATGTACTGCGGAACCGTATGGGAGGTCAAGGGCATTGCCGAGTTAGCGTGCGGGAGAGCGCGGAAGACGCGGGAGGTGGATTTGTAACTCGCTTTAGCTTGCGCCAATGTGCCCATATAGACTAATGCCTGGGCTCAAAGCAGGCTAAACTCGAACCAATACATTTCACCGGGGCTCTTTCCCAATTGGAAGCTCCTACTCAAGAGGCCATGCCTAAAGCGGGCTTCAAAGCTTTTTGTGCCTCCTTCCCTTTTTAATGGATACGCGATTTCCGCTAAGGCGACATGCGGTACACAACCCAGCCAATGCACTCCTTCATTGGAGGTATGGAAGTCTAAGAAATCGCATTGGGCAACTGCTTAAGCATTACTCGACTACAACCCTCATTTGAAAAAGCTTGCAGGTTGATGAGGGCATGTTCCTTTGTCTTTGGATTAGGATTGAGGTATATGGGCTCATCGTGATGCTCATTTGCGGTTTGCATCATTTGGAGCAATGCAGCGTTATGTCGCTCTCGTTGAATGGCCCAGTAACGGTTGCCTTCGGGAGGGGTGTCGTCCCATAACTGTGACCCGATTAAATATGGAATTATGTTCGGGGGGCCCAGAAACTCACCACCTTCAGAGCACAGCCACGAGGGAGATCAAAACGTCACGTGAGGTTTCTTTTGTGCCATGGCGCAAACTAGGCCCAAATTGGAAGGGAACACAGAAAGAGTCTTTTCGGGGTCTCAAACAGCTGCCAGCTTCCAGCACACATATTCCATAAGCGGCAGGACGTATACTCCAGAACACCAATCTGTGCTCCATTGTGTAGCGAGTGAATCAGGTGTGTCAGAATTGTGGTGCGTTGGCCTTGTTCTTCCGGAGACAGCGTTTTTCAAGGTCCGCCACTATGCACCTCCCGCTAAATACATATCTGTTACATACACATGCTCCTGATGAGCCCAGCCATAATTGTGGGCTCGCAATTCTAGTCCTGCCTTGGCTCCATCTTATCTCAGATACTGTACCTCGCTCCCCTGGCTCTCAGATGCAAGGAAACTGTAGCCATGCAATGTGCATCAATGGCATGCCGACTACGTTTGTACCTCTTAAGCATGGATCTAGACTGTATAAATATATCCTCACTGCTTGACGTCGAACCTTGCGGCATCCCGAACGCTCTTATTCAAACCTACATTGGCAAAACTTTTAGCCCCTTCCTCTTCTGCAAAACCCAACATGTGCCTTCCTGCTATTCTTCTCTACAGGACTGCCCGAGTGGCAGTACAGCAACCTGACGGAACCCTTATGAAAACGGAAGGCAAAGAACAGCAAGTTTTGTACATCACACAGCATGGCATGATTGGCGGAACAGGCCAAGTTGCTACATACCTGATGCAACCGAATATGATGGATGTTCGGGCAGAAATAATTCGCTGCTCTACCCATCCCGTGTGCAATTATGTTTGGAAGCTCAAAACTGATTATTGGAAACTGTAAGGACGCCCTCATGTCTTTGAGTATAGGTCTGACGAGAAACAGACTAGTGAGATTCACATCTCCCTGGCAGCCCTTTGCCCAGCTGGCTTGGTTCCCATCTCCTAAAGGGGATCGGTGTATCGCATCGGCCTACTTTGCTCGAACTACGGGTGAGGTGGTTGTACAAATGGGTCCCTCGGGCCGGACTGTCGGCAAAGCCACCCAAACTCCCTTTGCTGGTCACGGCTCACCTATCACCTGTTCAATTGATATCGATCATATCACAGAACATGATCAGATTGTCATTTTCCTACCAGACGATCCCACCTTGGCTCCTGTGCTGTCCCAGGCCTTCCGAAGACCAGCCACCGAATGTGTTGCACAGGTTGTACAGCCAATTCCATATTACACTGACGAAGGCTTCAGTCTCAGCGGCAGATTACCAGACGAAACTATCACAACAGAACTAAGACCACCCAGCAATGGAGATATAGCCTCGAAAGTTGACAACAGAATCAATGTTGCCAATGCAGTTCAAGCGGGAAGTTACATGGGCGTCTGTGTCCCGCTTCCGATTAGCGATATCTCTCTTTTTCACTTACAACCCGACCAACTGTGTTGCGATTCACATCAATACTACTCGCCATGCACAGACAGCCCTAGTTCAGCTTCGAACTCAAGTTTCGACGTACACTCAGATGATTCAGGAAATACGCAATTTGTCACCATGGTTGACCTTGAAGTTCAAGAGAATGACATTGACGATAGATGTATTGTTGTCAAACCTCTGCTCTGACTAGGAACTGGTTATCGGTTGTAAAAGTGTGGAGCGTGGGACTTCAGTCTAATGCTGCTCTAGATGATCTGAAAACCAATTGCAACAAAGGAATACAAGTACATTTCAAAGCGAGTATGCTGGATCAGCTATATGGTAAAGTTTGAGAATCGCAAGCACATGATGTAGTTCCCACCAGTAAGGCCCAAACACCGACAGGAAGGAGTGTGCGGATAGCGGTTGTAAAATGAGTATAGTTTCCTTACTGCTGCTTGAGGAGCGATATGAGAGCCTTGGCAGGACATCTTGCCTGAGACGAATGGTGAGCTGGGTGTTGTTATCTCATATGCGGTGCACTGCATCCATGGCGGTCCGTCTAGGGGCATACAGATGCAGAAAGGACGGGTCAAAATCTCGCGATGCCAGTATTAACAGGTCCTGTACTGCTGAGCCCTTCTTTGGGCTTTCCGCATGAGGTTACATTACTAGAAGCGGTGAGGAGACGTCGAGGGCACCTGAATAGTCAACTTGCGAGTTTTTCTGTTGCTGCAGGTTAGGGATGGTGGCTGGTCATGCAGCGGAGTCGGTCCTGCCGATGCGAAGAGCTGCCTCTGGCCTCGTGTTAACCAACCTTCTGTGGTTTCTTGTCGGGCTGACCGGCTGATTCACGACGGAGGGGGTTGGGCAGTAGTTGAACCAGCACCGCGATCCATCTATCGTACTGGGCATGAGGCTTGGGTCGCGGCATAAACTGCTTTAGGGGTGGATCGGCTTAGTGACCAGGTTTTGACTGTAAGTATGGACCATGCCAAGTTGTCACGTATCAGCTAAGGCAATGCAATGATCGTTCGACGCCTAATGGAACACACTGAGTGAACACAACCCTTCGAAAAAGGAAACTGCGCATGAGTCAACGAGGCAGACATACCTCCATTAAGAGGGTCTATACGTTGGAGGTGTGACAGTGGGCCAGGGGGCTTGCTACTATGGTACTTTGAGGCAAATAAGCAAGATGCTGAACGGATGCCGCAGCATTGAACGCAAGGACTTGTTAGGCAGCTGCCTTAGACACCAATGAAAGATATTTGGCAGGCCATGGGCTGTCAGTAGGAAGATAAGGAGGCGACATCCCCAACCTTAAACACACCCACGGTGGCATCCTCGGCATCACTCGCTCTCCATTGCCAGCCATGACGACAATCTCTTCTCAGACAGGTCAGGCAGACGGCCCGAAAACCTCAGAATGCTCATCAGAATGCTCATCGAGTGCCCATGGATAGACAAGTCACGCCGACGCTTTGGGGGTACTTCTCATCGCTGCCTGCTCAAATTTGGAAGGCCCTAGGTAGGTCTCTTGCTGCCCCTCAGGGGTCGGACTCTCAATATCGAACTCTCGGGCCACCCTTGCACCACCAGAACTCTCATTACAACAACTGGTGGCAGGAAAATCCCCTGAAGACGAGCTATGAGATTGATGACAGCATTCACGACGATAGCGATACTACGCCCACTTGACACTCTAGCGTAAAATCGCAACAGCAGAGAACCTTTAACGGCTAACAGAGTGAAGGGGACGCCACTTCCCTTTACAGAAGTGACGAGTCAAATCTGCCCTCTAGGACACCGTACCAGGTTGTTGTGTCTGTTGATGGGCACCAAATGAGCTTTGAAGGCTTCTTTGAGCGCGCCGGCAGAGACGGGCCTGTCGACGTGAAGTTTACCGACTCGCACGGAATTGTTCAGCATTAAATTAAGCATGATGGCCGAGCGAAAAGAACCCTTGCCGCGAAGCACCAGCTACCACAGCTGGAAATCGAAAGGGGTCAAGCGAGCTTACCGAGTCCAGCCATGACGAGGTAACGAGAGGAACAACAACAGCAGGAGAGACGAAGTCCGCCCATAGCAGGGACAGAGGTCGAGACCCATGCGGCCAAGACGGCGCGAAATATATGATGGCTCAATTATCTGTGGTTCATTGGATAGCTGCCCTCTTTAATGGCGAGGATGGATTCCTTTCCGATGTTCACTTCATGCGTGACAGGTATGGCTTCAAGGGGCTGATACCTTGGATCAAGAACTCGGAGAGACAGTCTCTCCGAGCTAAATAGTATATAAATGGCAACTATTTCTCTTACAGCTGCCAGCTCTCATTCTCGATCTTCATCCACACATTCTCCCGATGCCGAATAATATCATTCTACAATTCGACTCCGGCAGGCTGCCCAGTTCCCGATGACGATACTATCGTGATTAGCAGCGATGACGACTCAGAAGAAGACACAGACGAAAAACCCGACTGTCTGTTATTCTTACCTCTACATACCTTATATATCCTTTAGCTACTTAGTTGGTTAGTCTTTAGCCTATAGAAAGGAGCTTAGATATCTTGTATCGAGTTTCATCCTATGTTTGTTCTGTTTTGGACACACTTCCTCTGACTACGACGACAGCCGGGCTAGCGATGGGGGAGCCAAGAATGAAGGCACCGGGGGTGCCGACGCTGAGGACATCGATGACAGCAAAGATAGCACCAGCAAAGACAGTGCTAACGGCGCGGTTACCACTGATTCCATCGCCGGCGACTTTGCTGATGCCAACAAAGATACCTCTGCGGCTAGGATAGCCAGCAACCACGGAGATGGTAGCCCAACTGATGCTGCTGTTCCCGCTACTGGAGAGCAATGTATGGTCCAGGAACTGGCTGCAAATCGCGCTTCTTTCGCCCGAATCGAATCCAAGTTGTCTCAGAACGCTAGCCCTGCTCAGGTGATCCACACATCCATCGCAACAACTTCTCACGGCAAACGCAAGCGAACCAGCCCGGAGTTCCCAAAGAGGCAGAGGAGTGCTCGAGAGGGGAAATAAGGATAGGAGGTCCAGTTTGGCTGGATCCTGGCGTATGTCGGTGTGCCAGGCAACGAGTAGGCGGATCAAGCAACCAAGGAAGCCACCGGCTTAAGCTCTAACGCAGACGCCCAAGCCGCACCACCACCGGAGCCGGAGCACTTAAGGACACTCGTGGCGACCACGAAAACCATCATCCGCCGGGCAATGAAAGACGAGTGGTAAATGGCCCGGGATAAGTCCCAGCACGGCAGTGATCTTTACAAGCTCGGGGCGCGACCGGGAAAGTCGACACTGGACATACACAACGGGACATACAGAGCGTGACAGAACGAGCGTGGCAGAACGAGCGTACCCTATCTCTCTCAAAGATTTCCACCTCAGCCTCGGCCCCCTTATGTCCTGCGGGTGGATTAACAATAGTCCGCATGTCCCACTCCGTAGCCGGCGCTCCCCGGCGCTCCCCCGGTACCCCTCCGGAGCATCTGACTGACGGCCAACCAGACCCAGTTGTAGTGTGCTGATATTCGGGTATCAGAAACGTTCTTCGTAAAGTGTTATGTTTTCTACTTTCCTTGTCATCTACCAAGGCATCTTGACAGTCTCGGCGCCCGAGATGGCGAATTACCGGGCCAGCCGATGCCGAGAGCTGCTGCTGCGGGAGCGTTTGGACCACCCCGACGCTAAGGATTACCTCTGCATCAGGGCCGGCCACCTTGTTGCAACGGGCGTAGCGGACGCCGGGCAGGAGGATGCCCCCCGAGCTTGAGGGCGAGGACGTGGATTACTGACCGGGTGCCACCAGCCCGCTCGTTGTGCGCACCCTCAAGATGAGGCACGCGGAGGAGCTGCTTAGTGGCGTGTAAAAGCCGTAGCCAAGCTAGAACTTCTTGCGCGACATCATCCGCCGCAGCGTTGACGTGTATTTGGAGACCGCCTTGCTTGTTCGGCGTCGCCGGCGTAACGACTCTGTACTTGTCGACGCGGGCCAAGCTAGATCCGATCGCGGCTGCCGGAAAGGCCGATACAACCACAACATCGGCCCTCAGCGCAACAACACCCACCATCACAATCATGGCCACCTCCGCGATACCCGGTGAACCAGCGCTTAAGATTGTCGCCATCGCCGTGGTGTCCTTGCCGACTTCCACGCCTAGCACTTAGGGGTTGCCCTTGTGGAAGGAGTCCGCCTACTCGTAGGGCCAGATCGGTATACAACCGTGAACGGTGACCGCCAGATCGCTTAGGTCGATCGACGAATTGCCGACCAGGTGCAGGCGCATCGTCAATGGCGGCGGCAGTGTATCGGTTCGGGAGGTGGTCCTAGGCGGCCTTGCCGAGGACGCCGTCGCGGCCACTGCGGTAGGCGACGGTCGGGGCGGGGCCTTGCCGCGACGGAAGACGGGAAGTTTATCTGACGACTCATCGTCTTAGCCCGCACAACAAGGGCCATGCTGTGAGCCATCTGGCGATCTGCAATGTCAAGAGGTGCTGCGCAGCACTGTACTTCGCATGAGTAGAAAACGGAAAGTGCACAAATAGGTCGTGAAGAAAGGCCGCTGTCTCGCAATTAAGTCGCCGATGAACAGTGAGTGCCTTTTGAGCTAGTCTTCTGTGAACACTTCCCCTGAGTAGCCTAAGAGGTGTTAGAGAGCAGCGGGGTTCCTGTCGAGTGATGTATTACTGAATCCATTGACCATCGACACACGTCGGTAAGTCAAGACTAATGTTCCCGTGAGCTCGTGAATGCATGTGTCTGGCTATCGCTAACTGTCGCCTCAGTCTCAGACTTCGGTACCTCAGGCTGGGATCCGGGTGCAACAGGCACATGCTCGGGTTCTTGAGAACAGCGTATTCGGAGTCGTCGCGAGGACGGGGTTGAGCGGGTCCCCCATCCGAGACGGGCATTGGTCAAGCCCTCTGAAGAGACGCTTGTGGGACTCTGACGGCCTCCGGTGTCGTGAATGAGTAGCCTTTCATCTCCGGCGTCGGTCGGACGCAGCTCAAGTTTCTGCCGGCGTGGACTAGGGATCGATTTCGCGTCGGGGAGGAAAATTTGCGAGCGTTTGATAGGTTTCGAGGGGGACTGCGTTGCTAATTGGCGTGCCCTTTCCCTAAACTTGTCAAATCTATCTTCGTTCAAGCCAAGTATGTCCTCCAGCTTCTCAACAACAATATCGGGACGGTCAAGGAATGTTTCGTCGTCGCTAGCATCATCTTCTGAAGGATAGTCTGCAGTTCTGAGTCGAACATCGTAGAAAACAGCGAGATACGCTAACATAGACCGGTGCCGATCCGTTCGAGGTTCCCTTAAGGAATAGAACTCGTTCGCATTTCGAGGAAATTGTGAAAGTTCGGGTTCGAGAATGCCTTTTTCAGGGCGATACACAACGACAGGGCGGATGGGGAGAGATGGATTCTTTAAGGCGTTGTTCCGCATGTAGGCATGGGATTGACGGATCTGGGCTTCGAGACGCTGGTTCTGGGCTTCGAGGCGCTGGGTCTGGACCTTGACGTCGTCCTTGAATTCTTTAAGCTCCTGTTTGACAGAACCAATGTCTTTTTTGAGCTCTTGCTTGACGAGGCCGATATCGTTTTTGAGCTCCTGCCGCACGAGGTCGATAGAACATCGAACGGACGCGAACTCGGCGTTCAGCTGCTGGTCCTGGAAATTGCGCAGGTCGATGTAATCGTCGCGCGAGAGTAACTGACGCTGCTTCTCTTGCGACCAAGGCACAGGAGAGGGTGATGCCATGACGACAGTGGTAATGGAAATAACCATGTGCTGATTGGAGATTCAAGGTGTTGGCGCTGTGTTTATTGATAGCTGGTAAGCTAGAGAAACGGTTTGGGGGGGAGGCCAGTACTTATGGAACCAACCCAAGGATGGGCGGGCAAAGAGAGGCCCTTAAACACATCAAGTGCACGGTCTCCATGAGTCAGCGCAAGCCCACTGGCCAATCCAGTGACACTACTCAATTGGGTCTGTGACCTGCACGTCGGCCAATCACACATCTCCCTTCTAAGATTTGTTCACTCCTACCTCTGTGGCTGGGACAGCCAGCGACCGCGGAAGAGAAGGTGGCCCAACTGATGCTGCCGTTAACGCTATTGGGGAGCGTATGAAGCTCCAGGAAATGTCTGCGATTCGCGCTATGCTCGCACGAATTGAAGCCAAGTTGCCTCAGAACGCTGTCCCTGCTGAGGTAAATCACACATCCACCGCAACAACTTCTCGTGGCAAACGCGGGCGTACCAGTCCAGCAAGCGAGGTCCCAAGCGAGGTCCCAAAGAGGCAGAGGAATACTCGGGGGTAAAACGAGGGGTTTAAGAGTCCAACGACACACCGAAAGCTTAAGAGTTACATATTGAATCGATGGCCCTTGTCTATTTCGCTGACAATAGAAAATAAAGCGTACTACGAAGAGAATGCGTACCTGTATGAGAAAGTTTACTATTATGAGTAAGTGAGACAGCCTGTGTCGTAGTGTTGTTGGCGAGATTTGGACAATGGTCAAATCCTCTTTCGTCGCACTCACTCCTACCGGCAAATATCAAGTGGCGGCAGTTATAGCGATTCCAATTTTGTGTGCACATGGTACAGAGTATAAGGATTTATCAGAAACGTGGTAAAGAGGCGTAAGTAGACTGGATGCAAATGTTGTTACTCGAAAGTATTTGATCTTAGAGGTGGGAGGGGTTGGCTTAAGTCAGCAGCTGTGGCTTCACAGCTGGTCAAGCCCCAGGCCGAAACGGTCCGAGTTCTTTTCCGCAGCGCCCCTCCGCCAATGACCACGCGATCCAGCCTCAACACTCGTCTACATTCAGCGGCCATTTTTGGCACTTGTCCAAATATGGCTGCAGCAGCCGAGTCTGCCTTGCAGGAGGTACATAAAGAGCCGGGTACTGACAGCATCGGCCCGTTGCCAAATGTGATGTCATTAACATCTCTCTGGAGATTCAATAGCGCTACTGCAATCCAGATCGCTCAACCAAGCAGTCACATTTGCAGGCCTTGGAAACGATCATTTCGGAGGCTTCCGTGAACGGGGGCGGCGATTGACTGTGAAATCGCTTTTCATATGGCTGGCTGATTTTATCATATCTACCCTTTTTGAGCTGTCACTTTTGACTCAACATCTTCAACGTTGGGCCCAAAATGGCCGTTTTACACCAGATGACCCTATGGCAGTGCCTGGGGCCACACCCTGGACAGGGGATGCTGAAAATAGTCGTGATTTATTTTTAGCTTGCTCACCGTTGCGTGCCGTGAACGAACCTCCACAGTACTTTTGGATCTTTAGGCCCACAAGCTTCTTCTCGAAGCTTCTGTGAACATTGAGTGCTTGAATACGCTAAATCTGCAGTCTGTATTCCCGTCACTGCTACCAATGTTGTTTTCGTAAAGGCATCTTTCCCCGTCGTCTTTATACTGTTTCGCCGTGGGTCACTATATCACTCCAGTATGCTTTGCACAGACACAGACGAGGACGTTCTCGAAGTGCAGTGCAGTGCTCCTGGCCCTGCAGTGCTCCTGCAAAGTAAATGAACTGGTTCCGAGAAGCATTGCTGATGAGCCCTGTCAGGAACGATTGGGAAATGGGTCCTTCCATAATCCCGGTCACGCTGTTACCCTAGACCCCTTTCGTACTTTCCCTCAGCGAACCTGCCCAAGCAGACTCCTGCGTACGCAGATTCTCTTGCGCAGATTTCTGCGCATGCGTTTCTGCTTGAGCGTATTTTTGCGCAGGCGGCTTTGCTTGAGCGCATGTCTGCGCAGGCGGCTTTGCTTGAGCGTATTTCTGCGTAGGCGGCTCTGCTTGAGCGCATCTCTGCGTAGGCGGCTTTGCTTGCGCACGTTCCTGCGTACGCAGGTATGCTGAAGCAGGTTTTTGCGTATGCAGCTGGTCTACAGTGTTCACTGGCACAAGATATGCATTGGAGCAGATCCAGGCTCCGGTTTCATGGTTGTGAGTTGAAGCATCCACAGCGCAAGTTTCCCATTCGATCCGCATTTTAGCCAAACCCCATCGGTGTACACTTGGGACTTTGTGGTTGTCAAGGTCACAGGTTCCGTGGGCGGCCTAAGAAACAGATTAGAAGCTCAATAGGCCATGTCTAGGTACAGGATGTAGCGAGATGAACAGGAAGGAAACAACGCGCCGCTAGAAAAGGGGTTCGTCGATACCTTCGACACCACCCTGGCACGAGGTCTCGTGCTTGGTCAGCGGAACACCGATACATTTGGCGTACTAGTATGCTTACCTGACGATGAATGTCTCCACTCCCTGCACAGCTACCTTGACCAAGATCGTAGTAACTCTGCGTCCTGATGAACAACACTGGCCTCACTCACTTACGCATACCACTCATATCGTCCATGTTGACATGGGTGAATTCTATCACCAGGCTGCTGCTTTGAGTCGCACGCGAATGACCGCGCGGGGACGTGCACGTAGTAAGTGTGGGGTGTCCGCCTTTCCGCCGCGCTAACACTGACTTTATTGGTCGGGTGCACTAGGAGCCAATCATAAATCCACTACACACCCACCATGACACAAACATTCACGTCTGCCTGCTCAATCTCTCCACCTGTTTACTACCTCTTTGTCAACCATAATTTAAGCATCCCGCTACTGTCTCACTGCGATGGCTTGTACTCGATCGCAGTCGCGCGCTGAAAGGGATGGTCGCTCAACTCCAGCGTTCCAACGTCAAGGTAGCAGCTGTTTCTTGTCTATCGTCATGCGCAACTGACCACGAGCAGTCAAGCAGTCCAAAAACCGAGTGAACAAGAGCCGTCATCAACCAAGTGTCTATCGCAACCCACGACACGACGAGTCCGAACCCTCCAATCCAATCTCGAAGAACTCTTCTTCCAAGCCGGCGCTGACGGTGGCCGCGACGTCAGTCCCAGCGAAAGCATAACCTGAGGCGCACACGCACCCCCAAATGGGGAAACGACGCCAGCATCCTGATGCACCCGACCCTCCCATGGAAGAGTCCTCTTTGAAGCGATTTCGACAGACTGCTCGCCGCCGCAGAGAAGAGACGGTCGATTCAATAGCATACTGGGCCAGAGAAGGGACGTGGCCGCGGCAATACTTGAGCAGGACAGGAACATGGAGCGTCTTCTTGCGAGGAAGAAGTCTTCCTCAACTCTCAGTCGCATGCGATCGGTTTCTGGCTCTGCTAGCTCGGTAACGCCTAGCGATCAGAGACTAAGGGAGCAGAAGACTGACCCATAACGTGACCCACGGTACAAGACCTTACTTACAACC